TTTCTTAAACGTGATTATAAGTAACTGATTTCCCTCACTGTAGCTCTTTTAGATCCAGTAGATGCACACATTTCCCAGAACAACATGAAGAAGAGCAACATGTGCAGAGCAACAGAGCAGCTACACTAAAACTTCACTTTCAGACTTCTGTTGTCTGTAGAAGATGCTCACCTGGAGGAGTTTCAGGCTTCAGCAGCAGCCGAGGACAGTAGACGGAGACGATTTCTCCTTCAGAAGCAGTCGGCCAACAGCTGACTCCGTCCCACTGCATCTCACAACCTGACACGTAGACAAACTTCAGCATCAACATCTCCTTCAGCTGATACACACATAAGGAAACGCATACCTGAAGTTTTATTACTGATGGAATGACGTGATGCTGCAGCTGCAGTCTTCATTTTGAGTTTACACTCATTTTCTTTGTTCAGTAGATGTAAAACGATGGAGCACTCAGGATGAGTTGATCCAACCTGATGGAGGAAATCAAAAGCAGACATCAGCACAGCCTGAATTCACCTAAAACTCCAGAAAGCGTCACACCTTATTTTGCATATTTAACATAATATTTGCTGATGGATCTTCCTGCATTTGTTTAAAAAATGGAGAAACTTGTAAACAAACACATAAATAAATGTCATATTTTCTATAGATGAATTTAATTGTAACTTACGGTGCATGTTGTGATGATCAGGATGTAAAAGACAGCAGTCAGAGGGAGGTCCATGACTTTAGTTAAAAAACCCAAAACCCTGGTAAGTATAGAGTCACTTTTTGCTCTGTTGAGATTAAAAAAATAAAATAATAAAAAAATGTATGTTCTGAAGTGCTATAATGCTACAATTTTGTCCTTATTTCTGCATTTTTGAAAAGATCCCTGGCGGTTTAAATCCCATCCAAGTGTCTACAAATGTTTCCTCCTCAGGTTTTGGCTGCTGCTTCTTTCCTCCGTGCAGCTGGACTGATGTGAAGCACTTTGAAGCTGTCGGCATGAAAAGCACTTCGTCACCTGAGCATTCATCCCGTTCAACAGGACGACCACAAACAGACAACAAGGTACCTTTTATTCACTTCATAATTTATGCTGCACAGTCCTGACATGATGGAGACGCAAGTCCTTGAGATCAAAACACGCTCACGGTTAGTTACATATGCATCAAGGCCAATGTATTTATTCCATTTATTTTTAATTAAAGCTAATTCTATTGTATACGCAGGCTTCATAATGCAGTACTCAGCTAAAAGAAACAACACATGCTGTGAGATTCAAACAAACCATGACCTGTAAAACTCGTCTGACTCACCGGATGTAGACGTGGATATAAAAATATCTCTTTGGGGGACTCCAAAAGTTAATCTACGAATGAGAAACCTGACAGTTTTTTTTTGCGTGAGTCAAGGTAAATCGTCTTGACATGTGTTAGTGAGGTGTCAGAAATACCTCTGACTAGTGTGGAATAATATCATCAATGATCTTTTTCCGACGTTTTATTTCTTCAAAATGATTTTAAGAAAGTTTCAGTGTAGGACTAATTTTGAGCGGCTAGATTTTTATGCTAATTTAATCAATTTATTAATGAAAGTAGGAGTGTTATTTATGTGCTGAAACACTACACTATGGAGCTGAAATTAGCCATGTTATGAAGCCATTAGCATGCTTAGATTTAATCTCTTTAGAGTCTTTTAGGCTGTGAATGACTGGAAAAGCAAAACTGATAGTTTTGTTTGTTACCTAATGCCCTGGAGTGATATATGTTTGAAGAAAAACACACATCAACATAGTTTTTTTGTATATAAAGAAATGAGTTTCACTTTTTAACCATGTATAATATCATGTGTTACAACATTCAAACAACCCGGGTTATTCTAAAAGAAATCTTATACTGGTTACTTGTAATTTTGAAATACCGAATTTATAGAATTTCTTTCATACATTAATTTTATGCATTTCATACATGAAGCAGTGAAGCTACGTTGTGAAGCAGAGGCTGTCGATGCTGCCGTGTCTCCCTCTAGTGTTTCATTCTGTATTTGCTCCCTGAATGATTAACTCTCAGCCTGCTCCAAAGACTTTGCAATAAGTTAAAATGACCTGTCTAAAGATAAACTCCCTGATTTTATCATACAGCCAAACAGTGGCCCAAAATACACCGTTTTCATTTTGTAACTCGCCTGTAAATCGTCTGGGAAAAATGGAGCACTATGCTTTATCAAAAAGAAAAGATTTAACCCGAATAATGTGCCTGCCTCCTGAACCGAAATGGGAGCTGTTTCCTCAAGACGAGCTGATAGCTGAACACTCTCATTCTGCTTTTGGAAACCCTAGAAACCATCGATACACCTGCAGTCTGAGAGTGAAGTGCTCTACAGGGATGAAAAGGCACTGTAGGGTCTTTAAGATAAGATGGATCCTGTGTAAGGGCTTTATACGTGACGAAAAGGATTTGAATTCTGGATTCTACAGGCAGACTGTGAGAGAAAAATTAAAATAGGAGGATTATTATCTCTCTTGGTGGTTGCTGTCGGAACTCTGCCTGCAGCGTTTTGGATTAGTTAGAGGTTTTTCAGAGAGTTACTGGGACGTCTTGATAATGTGGAATTACAATAGTCCGGCCTAGAAGGAACAGATGCATGGACTAGTTTTTCAAGCATCACTCTTGAGACAGGATGTTCCTGATACAGTGAAAGACGGCCGGCTTAGAGTCTTGCTTTATGTGTGAGTTACAGGTCGTATCCTGGTCAAAAATAACTCCAGGGTTCCTCACAGTAGTGCTGGAGGCCATGACAATGCAGTCCAGACTAACTGTGTGGTTAGACAGTGTGTCTCTGAGGTGTTTGGGGCCAGATACAATAACTTCAGTTTTGTCTAAGTTTAGAAATGGAACATTATACATCACCCAGGCCTTTATGTCTTTGAGGTATGCTTGTAGTTTAACTAGCTGATTTATTTCATCTGGCTTCATAGACAAATACACCTGAGTGTCCTCTAGATAGTAATTACTAGATACTAGACTAGGAATGCTAGTTGTTAGCTTAGGGATGTGACTAGCTAGTCTAGTAATAGCTAGTCTAGTGGCTTGTCTCGGAACCTAGGGATGTTAGTCGCTGCCCTAGAAATGCTTGTGTCTAGCCTAAGTTTGCCAGTAGCGAGCCCAGCAATACTAGTCACCACCTTTGGAAAACTAGTTGCTACACTAGGGATGCCAGTGGCGAGCTTAGGAATGCTCGTCACTTCCCTAGAGATGCTTGCTGCCATCGTAGGGATGCTAGTTAGTGCCAGATGCTAGCCTAGGGATGCTACTTGTTAGCACAAGAATGCTTGTTGGTTGTC